CTAACCTAGTGTAGCGATACCTGGTCATCAATAATGAAAGAAGTGGTCTAACCTAGTGTAGCGATACCTGGTCATCAATAGTGAAAGAAGTGGTCTAACCTAGTGTAGCGATACCTGGTCATCAGTAATGAAAGAAGTGGTCTAACCTAGTGTAGCGATACCTGGTCATCAGTAGTGAAAGAAGTGGTCTAACCTAGTGTAGCTATACCTGGTCATCAGTAGTGAAAGAAGTGGTCTAACCTAGTGTAGCGATACCTGGTCATCAGTGATGAAAGAAGTGGTCTAACCTAGTGTAGCGATACCTGGTCATCAGTAATGAAAGAAGTGGTCTAACCTAGTGTAGCAATACCTGGTCATCAATAGTGAAAGAAGTGGTCTAACCTAGTGTAGCTATACCTGGTCATCAGTAATGAAAGAAGTAATCTAACGTAAACATAGCAATACCTGATGATCAGTAATGAAAGAAGTAATCTAATGTAAGTATAGCAATACCTGATGATCAGTAATGAAAGAAGTAATCTAACGTAACCATAGCAATACCTGATGATAGGACTACCTGAAGATCAGTAATGAAAGAAGTAATTTAATGTAAGTGTAGCAATACCTGATGATAGGACTATCTGATGATCAGTAATGAAAGAAGTAATCTAACGTAACCATAGCAATACCTGATGATAGGACTACCTGAAGATCAGTAATGAAAGAAGTAATTTAACGTAAGTGTAGCAATACCTGATGATAGGACTATCTGATGATCAGTAATGAAAGAAGTAATCTAATGTAAGCATAGCAATACCTGAAGATAGGACTATCTGATGTTCACAAATATAAAATAAGTTTTCTTTAGGATGCATGTACAGTACCTCAGGACTAGGACTTGTTTGTGGATTTCTTCTGGGAGGATACTTACTGTCTATCCACGAAGATGCCATCTTATATGACACTGTGCCTTATGATGTACATCCGGGCAGTCCTCGTTGGGTTGGAGCTTGGTGGGCGGGCTTTGTGTTGTATGGATTTTTACTTATGGTGGTAAGTTGATGATGGTTAACTGTGTTATACAGTAGAAAATAATTATAGAAACATTGGTGTTATACAGGAGAAAATAATTATAGGAACATCGGTGTTATACAGGAGAAAATAATTATAGGAACATTGGTGTTATACAGTAGAAAATAATTATAGGAACATCGGTGTTATACGGGAGAAAATAATTATAGGAACATCTGTGTTATACGAGAGAAAATAATTATAGGAACATCTGTGTTATACGGGAGAAAATAATTATAGGAACATCGGTGTTATACAGAAGAAAATAATTATAGGAACATCGGTGTTATACAGAAGAAAATAATTATAGGAACATCGGTGT